GTTGTGTGACTGTTGTCTACTTTTAGTATTTGTATTTTGTCTTGTATGTTCCCCCCTTTTTTCCCCTTTGAATTGTTCACCGCCCTGAGTCCTCCCGGAGAAGGGCGGTATACAAATAATAAAATACCAATACCAATTATATGGAGTATGGATGAGGTATAGTCAAAATAACATTCCTTTCTCAGAGAGTCAAGGACGTCTTGTCCTGCAACTGCAATGGTGTGACTGGGAGGCATCTCCAGTTTTGGGCAGTGCCTGATTGGACCCTGATTGGTGCTGGGCAGGGACCTGAACTTTCATTTGGGTGAAAGCTTGGAAGCTTTCAGATTCGGGTTTTCCCAGATGTGCCAATAGGACTTCTCTAATAAAATGGAACTTTGTGGCAAGTCAAGCCTCGGAGTCTTCTTTCGTTGGGGGTCTTTCTTGGAACCACAAGAAGAGGGTGGACATGGAAATGAAGCAGTGGGGTGGGATGCTTGAACTTTCTGATTTATGCTTTGCCCTTAAGGATGTAGGAGCCTTCCCAGATGAAGATATGTTGCCAATCCAAGCTCAGATTCCACCCACTGGACCTTCTACAAGGACCCCCACCCCACCCCAGGTAGTGAATGAAGCCAGATGGCAATTGATGCAATGAAACACCAGGTTATTCCATACTCAGTCATCCTTCCAATTAAATTTCCCAACATGGCAACATGGAGGGCAGGCAGAGCCAAAGCTTAATGCAGCAAATGTAAGAAGTAAGAAGAACGAAAGCCAAAAAAAAAAAAAATAGTTGCAGCAATGTAGGTGCCACAGATAGCATGCACATCAATTCATACTTACATAAATGTCTGCACCATAAAATCCATCCTGGTAAACAACACTGGAAAGATGTACACACAAAGAAAAAACATTCATATTAGTGCATTTCCACATGCAGATGCTACCAACCCCTGAAACTCTTGAGGTTAGTCATATGACAAGAACAACAACAGAACAGGAAAGAAAGAAGAAACAAACTGGAATGCAAACAAGGAATATACAAAGGTATAGATACATTATAGAATTCACATAAGGTGGGGGCCCCTTTCCATATCTCAAATGGGGTCTGAAAGTTCCTTGTTTTTTTATTTTTCTTTGGAAGAAAGTAAAGTGGTACCATTAACATCTGGTCACTACAAACTATACAGGTGTTTTGTGCTGTGAGTGCATCTTTCAATATACCAAGCTAGGATTTTCACTTCTGAGTTTCAGATATCCACACAGCTTCTAAACCAGGGGTCAGCAACCCGTGGCTCTGGAGCTGCATGTGGCTCTTTCATCCCTCTGCTGTGGCTCCCTGCTGCCGGTCGGCTCCACATTTGATAGAGCTTTTGGTTAGGACAGGTAGAGGGAAAAGGAAGCTGCACTAGGAGGAGACTCTATGGTGGGGAAACCGGACTTCTGGTCAGCAAAGAAAAAAGGACGCCATGCTAGACTCTATGATGGGGAAACTGGACTTCCAATTGGCTCCAAAATTGAATGGGGTTAGGACTTTGTGGTTTTTTGAGTGTTTAAGGTTGCCAACCCCTGATCTAAATTAACTTGCCCAAACTTTACAGATCATTGCAGATGCAATTCCCCATTCTGCTTTGCCATTCTAGCACAACACCTGTTCCATCTCTAGGCAGAAGAGGCCCCTTCATACATGGCAACGAAGTTGAATTGCAAGGGGAAGCTAATGAGATCCATCCCTAAGGGAAGCAAAATCTTCTTCATTAGTCTAGAGGCCATCCATGATGTTATTACTTTTGTTGGAGACCAGATGACCAGTTGTGCATACAGGTAGTCCTTGACTTATGACCACAATTAAGCCCAACATTTCTGTTGCTAAGTGACAGTAGTTAAGTGAGTTTTACAACCATTTTACAACCTTACTTGATGCAATTGTTAAGTGAATCCCTGCAGTTATTAATTTATCAACAAAGTCATTACGTGAACTTTGCCTTTGTCAGAAGGTCGCAAAAGTGGATCACTTGACCCCAGAACATTGCCTAAATATGAATCAGCTGCCAAGCATTTGAAATTTGATTATGTGACTGTGGGGATGCTGCAATTGTTGTGAAAAAAAAACAGTGTGAAAAATGCTCATGGGTTGCTTTTTACAGTGTTGTAACTTTGTGAGATTACTAAATCCACTGTTGTAAGTCAAGAACTGTCTGTAGTCTGTTTCATACCACGATGATACCGGGTGGAGAGATACCCAGGGATGGGCTTCAAAAATTTGGGTTCTCTGCCCGGTTGCTGGGTGGGAGTGGCCATGCTGGGCGTGTCCTAGTCGGCCTCCCATACCATGGCATGGGGAGCGTTTTCACCCTCCCTGAGCTCTGGAGGCTTTCCTCGAGTTCTGGGAGGAGGAAAATGGCCGCACCGGGCTAAGGAGGCCCTCTGGAGGCTGGAAACAGGCTCATTTCTGGCCTGCTGAAACTTCTGGGAGGCCCGTATTTTGCCCTCCCCAAGCTCTGAAGGCTTTCCTCAAGCCTCCGGAAGGACAAAAATGTCCTCCCCTAGGCTCCAGAGGCCCTCTGAAGGCCCTTTGAATCCAGAATTTCTGGAAGGCCTATTTTTCGCTCTCCCTGAGCCTCCATGCCTCCCCCTGTACTTACCTGGCATCCCAAACAGGCCACATGGAGACTCCTGGGAGGGACAGGATGGACAGGATGGGTGGGTGGGACCAGCCAGGGGTGGGATTTGCAGGTTCACCAAACTGGGCAGATCTTTAGCTAGAGGATCACCCAAACCCCTGCGAACCCACAACAGCCCACCCCAGGTGATACCCTCCCCCCTGCCATGGGCCTACCCAACTCTTGGCAACCCTTTTTATTTTGCACAAGGAAACATACTTTTACACATCTTTGTCAGTGTCACCTCAGATCATTATGCATTGTGGGGAAGATGGAAGGACCTAATTGAATATCTTCAGCTGGGAGAAGTCAGTTTTTCAACCTGTCTAGTATCTGTTTAAACCTGCATTCCAAGTTGTGTTCTAAGGCACACCGAATGTCTTTCATAACAGTAATTATTTGTCAAAAAGACGAGTCTCAATAAAGACAACTTTTCTGTATTTTTCTCCCAAAATATTCCCCTGAAATGCAGAGCTGCAAAGGTCCCTCGGTAGCAATACAGCAGTCGTTCTAATAATCTGCACCACCATTCATTTCAAATATTCGCACGTTAAGGGCTGCTTCAGATGAATCCTGGGGAATATGTAATTACATCACATGTTCTGAAAGCAATTAAACCTAAGTTTAATTCTCTCCTCAAGCCTCCGAATTGACAAATTTGTGCCAGTCATTCTCATTCATCCCAATTTACCTCACCAGGATGTTGTCGTGAAGAAAAACGGCAGTAGGGAGATTACGTGACTGAATACAGACCAGGACGTGGGACTGATGGGAAAACCCCCCCCCCCCACTGAACAGCCATTATGAGGAGATTTCTAGAGAGGAGAACTTGGTCCTGAAGGAAAGCCTGAGAAAGAAACTCTAAATAAACAAGATAATCAATCTCTAACTGATCCTGCCCTGGTTTTGTTGGGCGGAGGACGGGGGAGTGTAGAGAGAAGCTTTGATAGGCTTTGAAGATCTTATTTCACCCCACAATAGTACAGATCCTTTCTGGAATCCCTATTTTACCTATTGCTTGGCCCTGCATACTTCAAAGAGTTGACGACCATCTTGAAAAGTTCTAATTTTGGCAGGGGGAAAAAAGAGATTTCACTAATGGGTGAAATGGGTATAGGGTATTGATAGAAGAAAATATTTGTACCTCAGGGTTGAAATGAGGAGTCCCTGGTGCTCTCTGAGTTTGGATCAGAGCGGCTAAATGTTGGAAGTGTAAGCAAGCATCTGTGTAATGTTTCCTAATGATGCTTGATTCATAATAATGGCATGATGGTTCATACCATCATATGTGATGGACATGCCCCAAAGCAAGAAAATATTGGATGAAAATACATACATGGCTGGAAAAAAATGATAAAACAACATATAGATCTGAAACCCAAGATATTTTTGTTGGGCATCCTATCAGAAACATATAATAATCAGACCATATATTTGCTCCTGCATACTTTAACGGAAACTAGAATTGTATTTGCGCAACAATGATGATGAGATCCCATCTGAGGGGAATGTGATTAAGAAAATATTAGACTGCACAGAAATGGATAGATTAACACTTGCTATTAAGAATGAAGAATATTTTTTATATGGGATGTATTCTATCAATGGTTAGATAATAGAAGTTAGAAATGGGAGCAAACAGTAAAGAGGAGAGTTCTTAAAGAAGATGATGTTAAATGATAAATATTAAAATTATCCTATTATTATGTTATTATATTATTAATATGATGGCAAGGAATTACAATAATAAAGATGTGTATGATTATTTAAGCATAATTGTACCCAGAATACATACTGTTTGATGAAAATTGGATGTTATATAAATAAAACAAATAAAACATGGGGGGGGAGGGAATGAAGGCAAATGTATGTGTCCCAAGATAGAGTTGCAGGATCCAATCTGAGTTGGTCACCAGGACCAGAGGTTTAGTCTTCTGAGCTTTTGGACTCATGGTGTAGAGCCACATTCTCTCTCACCATAATGTGTCTTTAGTGCAGGGTTTCTCAACTTTGGAAGCTTCAAGATGTATGGACTTTGAATAGCTGGCTAGGGAATTCTGGGAATCAAAGTCCATGCATCTTAGAGTTACTAAGGTTGAGAAAACACTGCCCTAAAGTATGAATGACTAGTGGGTCATCCAGCCCACATTTGATAATCTTCAACAAAGCAGAATCACTACCCTCTTTGACTGATTGTTCCATTATCTCAAGCTCTTATTGTTGGGAAATTCCTTTAAATGCATGAATTCTTATTAATTCAATTTTGAGGACCATCCTAGCATCAAGAGAGTCAAGATGGCCTTGAAGAGGTCCTCTGTTCTAGTATCTTGAATTTCATTTAACACATTGGGCCTTGGAGTCAATACAAAGGTTCCCCTTGCACATATGTGCTAGCCATTCCTGACTCTAGGGGGCAGTGCTCATCCCTGTTTCAAAGCCGAAGAGCCAGCACTGTCCAAAGACATCTCCATGGTCATGTGGCCAGCTTGACTAAATGCTGAAGGTGCATGAAATGCTGTTACCTTCCCACCAAAGGTGGTTCCTATCTTTCTACTTGCATTTTTACGTGCTTTCTAACTGCTAGGATGGCAGAAGCTGGGACAAGTAATGGGAGCTCACTCTATTATGCAGCACTAGAGATTCGAACCTCTGAACGTTCTGATCGACAAACTCAGCATCTTAGCCACTGAGCCACCGCATCCCCTCTGAAGTCAATATAGAAGTACTCTAAGAATATAAAACTTGTAGTTCTCAGCCTATTTACTTAGCCTACTTAATGGACAGCGCAGGATATTTTTTGAGGGATTCACATGAAAGAATAAGTCAGAAATCCATCTTAAGAATACTTACATTTTTTAAAACACAGACAGTTTTAGGAATTTGATTCTCTCTCGGTGAAAATTTGTTTTTCAAAACCTGTCTGTGTAGAAAAGTTGTATAGGACAATAAAGAAGTATTCTTTTTTTATTATTCACAGAAAATTTGATGGAAAGAAATAATGTGTATTTGTCTGAAAAACTGACAGATCACTCTCTTTCTTTCTCCTAAAGTCCAGGATTAATGGCAAGCCATAAAAAGGCATCTTCTGAACCTGATTTTATGTATGTGTCAGAGAGAAAAAAGTGCAACAGGAAAAAAATGATGGAATGTAATTCTGAAAACAACATATTGTATATTATGTCATTATATTTTGCAACTGTTCTCAACATTCCATCAAACAGAGCTTTTTTCCCGGTATAATAATTGTACATCTGTTTTCCATTTGTTAAAATGGCTTTCTTCTAACTCAAGATGAGTATGCTACTTGGGAAAAAAAAGAAGTTATAAGACTTTATTATTGGGAAGATTTAACACACGCAGCCTCCTCTGAATCAGTCACAATCACAATCAAAACCACCTCCCTACAGGTAGTCCTTCTCTTGTAACCAGTTGCTGTCAAGCCCCAGGGAAATCAGAAAATACAGGCAGTTCAGATAAATATAAATATTCAAGGTATGCTAAAGCTGTCTATAAGTATCTGAACTACTAACAGCCAAAGAAAATTGGTGGCAGATAAGGAATTCACAGTGGGCATGAAAGGACTTCAACCAATTTTGTTGTATGCATGATGTACAATGACAATGAGGGCTATACTACTTGAGGTTGATGGTGTGTTTGACCATCAGCCTTGGGCTCAGTCTTGTCATCTCTTACAGTGGCTTAGCAACTGTTCGAAGTTATGATAGATCTCCCCAGGTGTACTTATCATCTGGTTCTAAAATTCTGATGGTTGCCCACTCTACCATGATCACATTGTTGGCATTTACTTCTTAAAAGTGGGACACTTTTGTGGAAAAGTGTCCCACAGCAAACAACTTGGTCACTAATTTTACAACTTAGCATTGGCTTTATGACTTAGGTGTTTGCTTAACAACTGTGTCTATAAAAGTCATAAAATCAGGTTGGTCATGTGTGTGATCTGCTTTATGACAGTCACGACTTACAATTGGGGGGAAGCTCTATGATGGTCATAAGTCAAGGACCACCTGTAGTCCTTGTAAATATAAGTAGGAAAAGTGTGGACGGCCATAACGAGGATAAAGTCAGAACAAAAAAACAGTTCGGCAGATTTCTGTCCATCATTTTCTCAGCTTAGCTTAACCATGATAAAATGGGATGGCAATAAAATAAGTATGTAGTCTCGCATTTACTTGACTTGTTCAGAAACAAGGATTTTTAAATTAACAAATACACTCAAGCTAAAATCCCAACTATCAATGAATAATGTAGAACTAGCTGATTGTTTGAGGCTACCTACCTACTGATATATTTTGGTGCACCATTTCAGACAGTGTGAAAAAAAAACAATTTCAATTTTATATGGATTTTCCTAAGCTTTGAAATGGAGTCTCGTTTGTGTTTCATTGTTTCTTCTGTTAATTATGTCCTATCAAGCTGTTGAAAATAGATCTACACTCTTTTTATAATGCTGGGGTCCTTCCTTGCCCCTTAGATCACTTGACTAAGTCTGGGTGGAGAGCCTCAGAATCAAATCTACCTTTAGCAATAGAAAATCAGTGATTTGGCAGGGCATTTTATTTCAAATTCAAATTCAAGAGAAGGAAAGGGGAAGAGAGAGGACTGTGCCAATTGATCTGCTGCCCTGTTACTGCCATGGCTTCTGATACCCTTTGCAAATGAGCAAAATTAACTTCTTCTCAGGCCTGGATGCCATTCTTTTGCATTGGGCCTTCAAGCCTGCCACATTCAATGCTGTGGGGAAAATGGGAGGGGGGGTTATATGGAGTATGGGAGATATATAGTCAAAATAACATTCCTTTCTCAGAGAGTTAAGGACATCTTGCCCTGCACCTGGAGTGGCGTGACCGGGAGGCATCTCCAGTGTTGGATGGTGCCTGATTGGCCATGCGATAGACATGTGGGTGCTGGGCAGGGACTTGGATTTTCGCTTGGGTGGGGAAAAGCTGGAAGCTTTCAGATTCAGGTTTTCCCAGATGTGCCAATAGGACATCTCTAATAAAATGGAACTTTGAGGAACCTCAAGCCTCGGAGTCTTCTTTCATTGCGGGTGTTACTTGGAACCCTGACACTTCTCTACAGATTTATGCTTCTGTTTCAAGAAAGGCAGAGACCGTAATTCGCTATATTTTGCCCTGATCTACATGTTTTAAGAATGGATAGAAGACCAATAAAAGCCTGAGAGGAATCGGCTAAATTTTCTATGGTTACATTCATGAACTTCTAGAACGGGTCCTCTCTAATGATTTGTGTCCTAATGCAGGGGGTCTCTAAACTTGACAATTTTAAGACTTCTTGGACCTCAACCCCCAGAATTCCTCATGCAACATGGCTGGCTGAGGAATTTCTGGGAGTTGAAATCCACAAGTTTTAAAACTGCCAAATGTTGAGACCCCTACCCTATTGGGGTTGCCTTAATCTCCCAGTAGAGTGAACAAACATTTTATTGTATGGGAGAAATATATGTGTGCCATTTTAGGAGACAATAAGCACGAAATCTATTCATTCGCCCAATAATTTATCCCTTTGGTAGGGCAGTTCTCCACAAGCATTAAGCTTAAAGCACACACAAGCTTCCTATGTTGCCATCGTTTTGCTGTTAACTGTATCTGTTATGTATTGTATTTAGTTGTCCATTGAAGTTCTCAGCCTGGTCCTTTGTTGGAGTGGGAAAATACTCTCTCCTGATTGGTTGTGGGCTGATCAGCTTCCCTATAAAAGGAGATGTATTAGCCAAGGAGAAATCGTTGCCTCATGGGCAGATTTGAATAAAGAGCTGTTAGAAATAACTCTGGCCTTGCCTCCATTCTTCACCCACAACTTAGTAGTATCAATGCACTAAATCCAGGGATGGGTTTCAAAATGTTTTACTACCAGTTCTGTGGGCATGGCTTATTTTGTGGGCATGGCTTGGCAAATTTATGTTTCAGATTGGAGATGGGAAATAAAATATGTTGTAAAACTTTTTTTAAATAGGCCAAAGAAAGCAGCAACCTGAGCTATGCCGAGATGAACACAGGAGAGCTGGAGGGTCCATTTTGTTTACTGATTGTGAGCTCCAGGTTGGGGGGGGGGTAGCAGCCGAGCGAGCAAGCCAGAAATCTGCTGACCGCCAAGCACCCTGCTCATGAGTAAACTTGCTTATGAGGAAACTGCAGATTAGAGGCAGCCGGCAGATCCTGGCATACTTGCTTGGCTGCTCGCGCCCCCCCCCCCAGCTCACAGGCAGGAAACGAAACTGCCGCCTCCTGCCTCTGTGCATCGAGGAGGCTCGATCCCACTTAGGAGGTGGTGGTTGGGAAGCCTTGAGGCTCCCTGAGCAGCCCATGCTGCTTACCTGTGTGTAGGCATTAGGAGGCAGTTGTGTGGATGCACAAGGCAAAGGCGAGGCAGGGTGAATGTCCGAGCATACCAGTTTGAGCCATCGCCACCCAGCCATCACTACTGGTTTGGTGACCCACGGCCAATTACTACTACTGGTTCTCCCAAACCGGTCCGAACTGGGAGCAACCCACCTCTGACTAAATCCTTCTGGGTTACAAGTCAAAATTTCACCACCACCCCCACTTCAAAAAATAGATTTAAAATATGATTCCACCTCCTTGAGAACCAGATGTTTGCCATTGCCCTCCAACACAGCCCTGCTGCCATGCGTTCCTTCTCAAGGGGAATTTGCATAACAACATGGGACGCACAAAATGCTCGAAAGCCACCATCCATGACAGGGCAAATTACTATCATTTGTCAACCCCCCTGTGCAAGGTGATCCACTTCAGGCGACGGAGATTGACGGCATGCTGGGCGAAGCTGGTGTGGCGAGACAAAATGGTCGCGCCTGGCATTCATGAATGCTCGATTGCCTTATTATTATTATTATTTTGGCCTCCTCCCTGTGGGAAGTTAGAAGATGGAAACTGCGGAGCGACAGGCTGAAGAATCCCAGGGCTACAAGCGACTTACCCGCCATAAGCTGGAATAGGAGGCGGGGGTGCCGCAGCTCGAAATGTGTTGTAGACGGTGCGACCTCTGCCTCTAAGGTGGGCCCCTCGGTACGCAGCAGCTGCGGTTGCAGCTGGATACGGGAAACCCGGCACTAAGAAAAGACAAAAATGCAACAGGTGGTTGATATTTCTGTTTTCGAAAGGAGAAGATGCTGGATCATTCAACAGAATCAACACATTCACCCTTAGCCTGGGTGAACAGTCATAGGCCTTTCTCAATGAAGTCTGCTTTCTCAAATTTGCCGTATTCTCAAATTAACAGTGGAAGGCAAGAATAAGGTGTGGTATGTTGCATAGGGAAGAAAAGTCTTGGTTTCAAACCCAGTACAAACCCATTTCTGGGCTCTAAAAGGTTGAATCACAGCAACTGCTGCACATTCAACCTTTTAGATAGCTTTGGTCTGGATGACTGAGTCTTCATTGACATATCTCTGGCTTCTGATAGCAATAGCACTTAGACATATATCGCTTCATAGTGCTTTTACAGCCCTTTCTAAGTGGTTTAGCCTATCACCCCAAAGAAGAATTTTGTAAGGTAGTGTTTCTCCAACCTGGCAAGTTTAAGATGTGTGCACCTCAACTCCCAGAATTCCCCAGTCAATAGCAATCACAAAGCACTTAGACTTATATACTGCTTTGCAGTGCTTTACAGCCCTCTCTAAGTGGTTTATAGTGTCAGCATCTTCCCCCAAAAATCTGGGTCCTCATTTTACCCACCTTGGAAGGATGAAAGGCTGAATCAACCTTGACCTGGTGAGATTTGAACTGCCAAACTGCAGCAAGCAGTCAGCTGAAGTAGCCTGCAGTGCTGCACTCTAACCACTGCACCACTTCAGCACTTATCTATAGATCTTTGAGTCAGTTGCAGTTTGGTAGAAGGTGGACAGTTTTGGTTGGCCTGAATTGGGGATGAAACAAATTCCAGATGGGATGAATAGGACAAAGCTGGTGTATGCATTTCCACTCACTGGGACCAGTGTTTCCCAACCTTGTGGACTTTAAGATGCATGGACTTCAGTCGTTTTCTGGGTGCAAGGAAAAGGGGGGGTGATTGTTTTTTTAATCACATTTTATTATATGGTGTATTTTTTAAAAGTTGTAAGCAGCTTGGAGTCATGTTAATGTGAGTTGGGTGGCTAAATATATTTAACAAACAAACAAATAAAGCCACTCATATAATTGAAGGCAACTCTTAGAAAATTGCCTTTTACATGAATGTCATTATAGTACATCAGAATCTATTAATATTAACTGTTAGTCTTTACATGTGGATTTCAGTGCTAGATTTACAGCTTTGTGCTAGTTTTCTAACTTCACCGTAGAATACAGGCTGAACTGTAAACGTTGGCCATGACATGAACATTTGACGTAGTTCTTTTGTTTGAAGGCTTCCTTTAGTTAAAGAGCGTTCTAGTTCATATTTGGTTCAAAGAGGCTGAGTAGAACAGGAGTCAGGTTTTCTACCTGGCTGGCTAATCTGGGACTAATTAAACAGGCACGCATGAACCTGGGAATGAGTGGCGTTCATGATACAAAAAGTGGACCCTGCATCTGCAGGAATATGCTATGAAGGAGGAGGAGAAGAAAAAAAAGAAAGGAGGAGGAGAAGGAGAAGAAGGAGAAGAAGAGGAGGAAGAAGAAGAGAAGGAGAAAGAGGAGGAGGAGGAGGAGGAGGAGGAGAAGGAGGAGGAGAAGGAGAAGGAGAAGAAGGAAATGAAGGAGAAGGAGAAGAAACAACAACAACAACTGGGAACCTCTGATAAATTATTTATTACAGAAGAGTTCAGAAACCATTATGAAAGAAATCCAGAAACTGCTTGCATCAAATGCAATTCTGTTTGTAATAATCAATATTCATACTCTTTGCATCTTTCCCCCCCTTCTCATTTGACGTAAAAGGCTAAAAATTCTCTTTGGGCACCTGAGAGCCATTTCTCACCTTGAAAAGAAGTCTAGCAACCATTTCTAAAAACAATCAATAGGAGCAGGCCACCCACGTTCACCAGAGACAAACCTAACTCTTTTTTTTATTATTTCAAAGAAGCAGCTAGAAAAAGCACCAGAGAATCCTCTGCCTACAGATAGGCTTTTATTTTTTATTTTAAGATATAATTCTCTCTCCAGAACTCTTCTGTTGTTACCTTAACATTCTTGTTCATAAATCTTACTAATCAGAGTCTTGAAAGACTTCTTCCTAGGATGAAGTGCTTCTTCATCAGAAGAACGGTAGAACTGTAACAAAAATCTGACAGCCTAAGAGATATAATTTCTGTCTGTTCTTTGTTTTGGTGATGGACTGATCCAGCATCAGATTGTTAACTTTTCCTCATAAACATAACATCTCCTCCATCATAAACATGATAATGTGAAATCTTAACTTTCATAGGAAGGACATAGGTAAAGGTAAAGGTTCCCCTCGCACATACGTCCTACTCGTTCCCAACTCTAGGGGGTGGTGTTCATCTACATTTCAAAGCCGAAGAGCCAAAGCTGTCCGAAGAAGTCTCCGTGGTCATGTGGCCGGCATGACTAAATGCTGAAGGTGCATGGAACACTGTTACCTTCCCACCAAAGGTGGCCCCTATTTTTCTACTTGCCTTTTTTACAAGCTTTCGAACTGCTAGGTTGGCAGAAGCTGGGACAAGTAACGGGAGTTCACTCCGTTATGACATGCTAGGGATTCGAACTGCTGAACTGCTGACCTTCTGATCGACAAGCTCAGCATTTTATCCACTGAGCCACCACATCCCCAGGAAGGACCTAAGACACTTTTAAATGGGATTCGGACAGGAGGCAGGCTAGGAACGTAGACCCTGATCTCTTTTCCCACAGAAGTGAATTGTAACATAATTCAGTTTATTTATTTTTTCATATAGTCCTGTGAGTCCTGTGCCAATCTTGACCCTTCCTTCAAATGCTTGAAGTCACTTTTATTTGGAGCCAGAAAGTGATGAGGATGTGGACAGAGGTGAAAGGCGGAAATTCCAGTGCAGGTAATTCTTGACTTACAACCATTAGTTTAGGGTCTCCTGCTCAAGCAGGGGATTGGACTAGGTGACATCCGAGGTCCCTTCCACCTCTGTAATTCTATTCCCTTCTCTTCTCTTCAAGAAGAGATGGGAAGATCTGGAATGATAACAGGCTCTCCTGCTCAAGCAGGGGGTTGGACTAGATGGCCTCTGAGGTCCCTTCCACCTCTTGCTATTCTGTGAAAATAGAATCATAGGGCTGCAAGGAACCTTGGAGGCACTCTAGTCCAACCCTTTGCTCATGACAGGAGACCTTATATGATCCTGGTTGTCGGGTCTATTTTTGAAAATTGGATGGCAATTCCAGGAGGCAAGCTATTCCATTGATGAATTCTTCTCACTGTCAGGAAATTTCTCCTTACTTCTAGGTTGGATCTTTCTTTGATAAGCTTCCCCCCTTATTTCTTGTCCTTCCCTCAGATGCTTTGGAGAATGAGTCAATCCCCTTTTCGCTGTTCCAGTCCTTCAAGTATTGGAAGATAGCTACCATGTCCAACCTATTCCTTCTTCAATAGGGTACACATACCTAGCTCCAGAGGTGGTATTCAGCAGGTTCTGACCAGTTCTGGAGAACTGGTAGTGGAAATTTTGAGTAGTTTGGAGAACCTGTAAATACCACCTCTGACTGGCCCTGCCCCCATCTATTATCTGCCTCCCGAGTCCCAGCTGATCAGGAGGAAATGGGGATTTCACAGAATCCTTCCCCTGGAGTGGGGAGGGAATGGAAATTTTACAGTATTCTCCCCCTGCCATGCCCACCAAGCCATGCCCACAGAACTGGTAGTAAAAAGGTTTGGATCCCGCCACTGCCTA